ATTATCCTATTCAACCGATGAGATGATGCAAACCGTTGATGTTTATGGAGAGGAACTCTTTGAAATAGAAAAGTTGGAAAAGATGTTTAAAATTCCACCCCTTGATGTTATTTTTAATGATGAGGTTTTACGGTTTGTAGTTCCAAGATGGTTCTTGTGCCTTTCCAAGGAGTTTCAAGAACATAATCGACAGGGTGTCTTGCTTTCCACCCCTGCTGTTCCATTTAGATTAATGAGTTTACCTCATCTTTATCAAGATTTGTTGCGAAGGTTAGTGTTCTTCAAAAACATGAGTTTTTATTCTCTAAACAAAGGATGATACCCTGTCCCTAAGGGGCCAGGGCCAGCCGGACACATATCTAGGAGGATGTTAATTGAGCTTTGATCACAATCTGGTGGAGAGAGAGTGGGGTTCCAGACCAGGACTTTGCCTGGAATTGAACCTGGAACCTCTCCCTTGTGACACCCTCTTCCCACCAGCTGAGATACGCCGCCTGGTGAAGTATTTAATCTCTTTCATTATAAGATATGACTGGTTATTGCCATACTGCTGTTTTAAGGTATATTAAGCAGCATTGCCCTGACTGTGGAACTGTTGTTGAGGAACCTGCATTGTGCCTGCTTTGTGGTAAATTATGCTCACCTTCTTGGCGAACGTGCTGCAGGTTTCTACACATTTTTGTGTGTTGGTTTTAGTTTCTGTTCTCTTTTAACTAAAGTGTGACATAATGATTGGTTCTAATCTCAAGGAAAAACATTTGCCAAACTCATGCATTTGCTTGTGGTGCTGGTACTGGGGTGTTCTTGTTAATTCGAGTGAGTTTTTTGGTGTCTCTTCTTGTAGTTCATTATTTAGCTCATACCTACTACATACAATATAGTAGTTAAAATAACATCCGATGGCACTTCTTGATCTCATGGTAGAAAACTAAAATCTTGCTTCAACGATCTGCTCGTCAAGCATTATGGCATTCCCCTTACTTGGATGCATTTGGTGAAGAGGTAAAGCTAGCCTTAGTATCATATCTATTTCTCATAATATGATATGGTTCTAGGTTTGTTCTGAAGGGATTCTCATCAGTAATGATGTCAATTTTTTTTCTTTTCCTGACGTTGTGTAATGTAGGACATTGAGATGCAGAGGGGGAAGCCTTTGTATCTGAATGAGGAGCGCTATGCAGATCTAACACACATGGTATCTTAAAACCTCTATACTGAGTTTCTGTTTGCATGTAATATGGAATATGGAAGAGGTTGAATGAAAATTTTTGTTGTTCTTGTGGACTGCAGGGGATATATTTCTTTTCAGAAAAAAGAAATTATACTTTTTTCAGAGCATTTAAATACTTGACTTTTGTTACCCCCAATGTGTCTCCTTCCCCAGAATTAGTTTCTGTCTGACTCACCAACATCAAATGTAGCGGTGATGATTATGTGGTGAAAGTTGCTTGCTACCAGTGTTATCACGGCATCACCTAGGCACTGACTAGGCGTTCTGGCGATGGAGGGGAGCTGCCATGCTCATTCGACTCGCCTGAAGCCTCCTAGGCATTTGCGGCGACAATTAGGCGTCGTCAGCCATTATGGCATCGCCAGATCTAGTTTTTCCGACCCAACCGGAAATATGCGACATTTAGTCCTTTGAGCCGTCGCAAGACGGTCCACTGGTTATCGATTGGGACATGAGGAGGTGATGCAGTTATTAAGAAAAGTGGGTTTATGTGGTTGATATTGAATTAATAAAGTAAGAATGATTTAGAATCACATAAATTTTACCAAATTTGGTATGGGACAATCTTAGTTGGACAGACCAAAAAGGAAAGATGGACCATCTTAGCCGGACAGAGGGAGTAATTTAAGTATATATATTATTTATAAGTATACGAGTAATTTAAGTAATATAATATAAATGTCTATATATTATATTTAAGTATTACACAATGGTGAGACTTGTCGCCTAGGCGATAAGGCATAAGATCTTATAATTTTATTGTAAACCTTTCCAGGTGGCTTCTCATGGCATTGATCGAAGTCCCAAGGTGCTTCGTCAAACATCTGTTGGCTTTTACATACTGTAGCTTCAACTGCTGTGATAGCAGTAGTAGCACTTAATGCCTTAAGAGAGGTGCTGATACTAAAAAAATTATTATAGCAGTCGATTTGTGCTCTCGTTTTCTTTGGGGGGGGGGGGGGGGGTTAGTTGGTTGTTGATATTCATGGCTGTAATAATTTTACGGTTGGGCCTAGCAGGTAAAAAAGTTGTAAATGTTTCAAATCAAGAGGATCTGCTTGTCAGTGTTATCCATTATCCTCGTATAGTCATATCTACAGCTCAATTGAGGTTGGTGGATTATTTTCTTCATTCTTTTAGTGTACACGAGTGCAAGAAGTCTATTTCGTTCTAGTGAGTCACAGCATCTGACGTGAGGGAGAAACGCTCTTGAACAAGGTAGGTGTGAATTTGTGCATCATTCTTAAAGTCTTGTGTGCTCATTTGTGTGTGGCAGATACTGGGTTTCACATTTAGAGCTTGGATTTTCTTTGGCATGGAGGGTAAAGGATGCCTGGTTGGCCACTGATTGATTGCCTGCCTACACACACAGCTGTACAGCTGTACAGTTTTGATTGCTTGCTTTCCATTTCTTTACCAAACCCTTTTACTATTATTATTGTTGTATTAATAGATTTCTAGTGCAACATTAGTTTCTTATACCATCAGTCCATCATACCATGTGCTCGGTTAATCGTTGAATTTGATTGGTCCAATTCCATTGAGGCCTAACTCCCCCCCCCCCACCCCACCTCCCGTCCTACATCAACTTAAAAAGCAAGTAAAAAAATAATTTCACAAACGTTAACGGCCTGTTTGGCATGGCAAAAAATCCAGTTTTCCCATGGCATGAAGAACACCAACAAATGCAATAAAGCAAGCCAATGATTATGACCAGTACGAAATTGGGCGAAATCATCAACCCCAGAGCATCATCGATGTATTACCGCTGCCAGCTCTAGCAGAACTGTTGCTGCCAAATCCGGCAGAACTGTCGCCGCCTGCGGTCCTGCGACGCATGTTGACGGGTGCAGCGGCCGCAACTCCTTTTTGTGGAGCAGCTCCTCCTAATGCCATTTCAGTTGGAATGGATGTGGGAAGAGCTGGGTGAAGTGTGAATCTACGTATACTACAGATGTAATATGTGAACCCAGCTTTCCATGTTGTTGAAGGGCAGGACGTGTCCAACACTTCCCTACACCCCAATTTGGGGTGTTAAAAAAAGCTATCTATTGAAGGGTTGGGGAGGTTTTCCTTAACACTCTTAAACACTTACTAACACTTCAACTTTTTTTTTAATTTCTCTCCCAAACAAGTGTGTTGAGGTTTAGTCCCATAGATCCGAAAGCCCAACACACGCTTTGGATATTGAGGATTTTTGTCTCGGTTAAAAGGTGTTTAACATATAAAACAATGAATTAAGGTTTAACTCAGAAGCTAACTTGTATTATGTAATCTTGTGATTACACTGAAACTGCTCGAACGGTAGCTCTGAGTATGAAATTGCTAACCTTTTACAATGTATTCAACGCTGGTATTTATATTAGAAGGGGGATAGGTGAGATGGACGTGGCCGAACCAGGTAGGCTGTTACCTCTGCCACGAAGTGCACCCATACCTCTACTTGCTGCCGCCATACTTTAGCATTAACTGCAGTTTGCCATTTGTTGATCCCCCGGTCGGGTACCCCGTTCGGAGTGCGGGACCCCTTTGTGGGTATTTTGATGCCAGTCCCCTGTTTAATTAGTTCAAGTGGATAATTCTACCCGAATGCTGTTCAGGTATCACCCGTTCGGGACGTCTTGGACCTTTCTTATTCCGTTGGGCTTCCTGTTTTTCATGGGCCTTCTTTATGCTTTAGGCCGGGTGTATTGGGCTTGGACCCAATACCCCAACACGAGTCCCCCACTTCCTATGTCTCGAACAATAGTGAGTGCATAAGGAAGTAGAAGAATATTTCCCGAACGCTGCTCGGGTATGTAGCGGACGGGATTTCGCCAGTTCCCGAGGCATAATCTTGACGGTTTTCTGCGGGTGTCGTTTCAATTTCCCGATAATCGTCATGATTACTTGTTGGTGTCTCTTCGCGTGACACATGTCCCTGTAATCATTCTTAGTGACGTGTCCTCCCCTGATTGGTTGACGAACCGATGCTGTTAGGTTATAAATAAACTCTTATGGTTTCGGTTCCGGGTTTCCAAATTTTGAATCTCTTCGTGCCTTTGCTCTGCCTTCTCTCTAGGTGCTCTCTAGCGGTTCTTGTTCAGATACTTCCCGGTTTCACTTCATCTCTTCTGTCTTCTTGTTCGGTAAGTATGGCACCTCGCCTACGTTCTCCCGATCCTTCTACCTCTGGGTCTGTACTCCAAGGGGAGGCCCAAGATGCTGCGGCGGAAAATACTAACGCACACGCGGAGGTTCCTGGTGATGACGCCTCCTCTTCCAATACCTATTCCGATGGTACCAAATCTAGTGATGAGCTAGACATTATGGAGGCTGGTCCTCCGGGTGACGTTCCACGCCATAAAATTGACCTAGCACTTATTAGGTTCAGGCGGCAGAAACTCACGGTCCAGAACAGGGCCAAAATTCCAGTCCTAATTCCTGACCCGGTGGACTTCCGCCTCCAAGCTGGGCTCCACCCAATGCGTCATTTCCCTGGGATGGTGGTAGTCCATTTCGACTCGGTGAAAGCCGGTCTTAGATTCCCGCTCCACCCCTTTTTTGTTTCTTTATTAAATTTTCACAAAGTGGTGCAGGCTCAAATTATGTCGAATTCCTATCGGGCCATGGCCGGTTTCATCTGCCGCTGTGTGAATGTTAAGGTGACGCCCACCCTAGATCTCTTCCACTATTTTTTCTCGGTCATTCCCCAGCAGGCTCGTGGGTTTTTGGTGGTAAGTGCCCGAACGGGGCATATTCTGTTCTCCGATGCCCCTTCCTCAATCAAGGGATGGAAAGATCGGTTCTTCTATGTCTCCGTCCCGGACGGTTTGATTCCAAGGCAATGGAATGCTTTCCCTCCGAAGTCTCCTGAGCCGTTCATCTATGAGGATCTTAACAAGGATATCATTGATGTGGAGCAGGGTGGCTCTTACAAGATCAAGGCCTACTTGACCCCTGATCGGCTTATCAAGGCCGGGATAGGTACTGCCCGTATCCCTGGATATACTTGATTGAAACCCAAGTGCCATGGCCCGGGCGGTCCTTCCCGTGTGAGAAACACTTTGTTCATCCACGTTGGAACCGCTCGGTACTAAACTTTTTCTTTGCTTTTTCAGCTCTCAACCCAGACGCAACTCCAGATCCCGAAGAAGCCAACCATCCCGCAGAGGTTATGGATGACAGTAGGCTGTTTTCTGTAGGTGGTGGTGATAAGGAGCCACAACAAAAGCGTGCTGATGAACAAAGAAAGAAGCGGAAGAGGTCGAAGAAGACCGTTCAGGCAGGATCTTCTGAGGCCGTTTCGCAGGGCATGGAACAATCTCAGCCCGTTCAGGACGTCTCATCCTAGTCCGTTCAGGACGTTTAGCCCATTCATCAAGTCGCCCCAGAACAGCCTAACATGGCTGACATGTTCATGGACAACCTGTTCGGTCCTGAGCAGTTACAGGAGTTCCTCGGGCACTTTAGCTTTGCTCCGGGTTCCAGTGCAGAGGCCCATCAGGGTGACCTAGTGGGGCGGATCGAGTGGATTTCTTTGGAAGATCCTGCTCATGAAATTCTGGAGCGCAGTGGAGCAACAACATCCCGGCTTTGGTCCACTCCGACTTTCTTCAATGGCCTCCCGCTCACTTAGCTTCCAGTGGAGCGTACGGAGGAATGTCTTGCTTTGACTGCTCTTAAGGTATTTTCCTTTCCTGTGATATCCATTGTGTAATTTTTCTTAAATCACGTGATGAGTTTTCTAACTATTCTTCAACGCTCCAGATGGGGCTGTACAACCTGCAAGTGCGAGAGGCTCGGCTGGCTAAAGAGCGTGAGCTGCTCGTGGCCCAAGAAAATGCCAAACATGCCGTTTCTAAAGCTGTGCAGGCGGCCGAGTCTGAACGCCTCTCTTTCGCTGAGGAGCGGAAGAAACTCGAGGCCGGGCTGGGGGAGCTCCGTGTTCAGGTGGCTACCCTTCAGGCGAAGATTGCGGCTGCTGAGGCCGCACAAATCAAATTCAAGGAGGCGCCTTCGCAAATCCCGGACGGTCCTCCTGAAGTGAGCGTGGATCTTTCCTCCGTCCGGGAGGATTTCATGGCTTCCGAAGAATTTGCTGCTCTAAAGGAGGATTATGCCCTCGAGCAACTCCCCGCTATCTTCGGGCGGCATCTGGGGAAACTGAGCGGGGAGGCACGCCAAAAAGAGGGGGTCCGGATGCTCGATCAGGATCCCGTAGCCAAAGAGTGGGCTGAAACCCTTGCTCGGAAGGTTTACTCTGCCGGATGCCAGCATATGTTGCAGCCTATCCTTCCCCTTCTTGAGAAGCTTCTAGGCCGATCAATGCAGCCCTCAGACTTCCCTCATCTAGCTTCCAATCACCTTAATGCTCTAAAGGCCCAGTTGGGCAAGTGCAGACAGGCTTTGGGGATGGAGTCTGACCAGGATGCGGATGAGGAGGCTGAAGATGATGATGAGGATGACGACGAAGATGGCCCCGGACAGTAGAATAGATTTAATCCTGTATCTGTACTCCCCTCTTCTGCCTTCATTCAGAGTTTTGTAATTTCCGGCCAGTAGAGCTGATCGGTTTGAACTTGCAAGTGTACAAGTGCCGATATAGTAATAAATTCCGGTAAAATACTGGGTCGAATCCACAGGGAAACGTTGTTTAATTTAGTCCGAGAGTAGATGAATTTAAATAAATAAATGAGTAAAGTGCAGGGATTTTGAGTTGTGTGTTGTTGTGAAAACAACAACTTGGTTCTTCTTTTTAATTTTCAGAGATATAACTTAAATTAATTTGATTAAAGTGATTGATAACAACAACTAAGGCTTCGGGAATCACTTAAATGCTTTAATAGGGTTGAATATTAGTTCTTTACCAACAATTATGAATACGATGTCGCTAATATATTCTCAACTCCGGTTAAGGCAGCGAGAGCGTGGTTTTCGTTACGTGTAAGTCCCGTTACGGCTTACATATATTTCTATTCTCGGTAATATATATGTTTATCCTTTAATGTTCATAGTTTAGACCTCAACGTTAATTGCAAGCATAAACTAAGTTTAACATACTTCTATGTTGTACATCATAGTCATAAACAATCAAAATGTAAAGGATAAATCACAATTTATTGGTTTAGAACTTTTATCAAACACCTAGTGGGCATAGAAGTTCATCCCTAGCCTTAGCTAAGAACTTAGCCTCTAATGCTCATATTAATTACAAAAGTGTAACTAAGATAAAGGAAATACAATAACATACAAGAAATAATACCTAGAACCAATTGTAGAGGAGAGAAATGGCTTCTTCTCCAACACTTCAAGAGAATGCAAAAATAAAATATAAAAACTGAAATTTAAGCTTCAAGGATGGATTGATGATCTTGTTTGATGAATTGGGGGCTTTATGTAGGCTAAAGATTGACATCTTTTAGTCTATTCGAGCCCAACAATCAAGCATGGAAGATATATTTGATTAGCTCATGAGGAAGGTGAGTTTTTTCCATCAATATATCTCAGCACGTTCTTTTGTATTTGCAGGATCAGACCTACCCGGCGCCGGCCATCAGGCCTACCCGGCGCCGGGTAAGCTACTGGATTGGCTGGTGCGAAAATCCGACGGGCCGGCGCCGGGTATAGGGTGGGTCGGCGCCGGGTATCTCCCCTTTTTGTATTTTCTTCACTTTTCGCTCCATTTGACGCCCGTTGTTGACCCCGAGGTGCCGGTTCTTGGTCCCTTTTTCCCAACTGACTCCCGTTTCTTCATTTTTGACGCTTCAGTGCGGTTTCGCTCAAATTGGGATTTTTATCTGTTTTATCTTTGAATATTTGTACAGATAATCATAATTACCTATATAAAATATAGATAATTGTTGTACTTATCAAGAGCTGATGAATATAAGTGGAATTTTTTGCCTATTAACTTTTTTGCCTATCAAATTGACATGTAGTTCTTTTATTATTGTTTCGCCTGTGGACTTAGTCATTTTCGTGATCTCTATCTGCTCAACCGATGTGTCCAGTCCTAAGATAATTGTCAGTTCGCCTGTTCGGGATCCGAATCTTAGCCCCCCTTAATTGCTTTTGTGGAACCAATTCTCATTATCCTTACCAGCTTGGTCGGGGGATTTGCCAATTTGAATAGAAACTGTAGGTCATCCTGTTCCGGATCCCGATCTTAGCAATTCACAATTGCTGTGGTAGAGGTTTGGTCTAAGCCCAATATTTAGGACTTTGTTGTTCCCCTGATTTTTCCACTTCGTTCGGGAGTGTGTCCTTTACCTCTACCCTGGTGCATGTTCGGCCTTCGGACATGATAGATGTCTTGATACAGGTATTCTAGGAACACCATCATACCCGTTCGGGCAAGGAACCAACACTCACTAAGCATGGATACAGAGTCTATTCGTTCTCCTAGCAATCTCGATCGTATGGAATATCCTTGTGATGCTGATCGGGTATCTTTATCCTTGGTTGTGGTCGATCTACGGCTCATGTACTTAAATAGCTTTGGGGTTTATTTCCCGTTCGGTGCTTTTGACCGTTTCATTTCTTGCTTGCTGCCGATCTTTGGTTTGGATGAACGTTCGGGTATCTCTGCTGCTGGTGACGTCTTAATTGCTCTCAACCGTTTTGTGCCACGTGTCTGCCATTGATTTGGGCTCTTGGCGGCAATTTTCCTTTATAAGGGAGCTACTTCCTCATTTTTCACCTGCTGCTTCTCTCATCTTTCTGCGTGAATCAAGCTTTCTCTCTCTAGAAATTTGCTTAAAGGCGTTTGCTTCCCCTTTTATGTCTGGTTTCCTCAGCTCATCTGACTCAGAGGAAATGGCACCCAAGTTAATTCGTCGCCCCAGGGGAAAAACCCATCCCAGCAATCAGGATGGCCCTTCTGCCCGATCATCAGGTTCCGATGATTCTTCCTCTTCCCCTCAAACCGAACAGCCCCTCCCAGATGATGGGTGCATATCTGGTGATGACTTGGCCATTTATGAGAGGGGGGGGGTGCCCGAACGGCCCCCTCATTACAGTTTGAATTTCCACTGTATTAGGAAGCAACGTCAATGCCTTCCTGCGGATGCTGAACAGTTGCTTCGCCAATTGTTGCCTCCTCCCCGCCAATTCTATGCGGGTTTCATCAAACATCCGATGAGGCGTCGTTCGGGATGCGTGCCGGGCATATGGATGCCTTGGTAGCCGGTCTTCGGTTCCCCCTGCATCCATTTGTTGTTGAATTTCTCCGCCGGGTGTCAGTGTTGTCGGCACAGTTCGTGCCTAACACTTACATGATTCTGAACGGCTTCATCGTTCGGTGCCACGATCTGGGATTGCCCCGAACATTGACCTCTTCTTATACTGCTACAGTTACCAGCCGTATTGGACCACTGGGTATCTGCGGCTGGTTGCCCGCATTGACCGGACTCTGTTTATTGACAACTCCACTCCCCCTGAGAAATGGGAGGAGCGTTTCTTGTGCGTCCACGTGGACGAGCCGCTTCCATTCCCTAAACGGTGGAATACATATCTCGTTCGGGACACCACCCCTGTGTTGGATGCCGCTCTACTATGTCAGTACGATCGGCTCCGTCTGGAGGGTTCGAAGAACCTTCGATTTTACCTCACCCCCTCCAAACTTCTGACCGCCGGCATTGGTAAATCTTATTCCGTTTTGGGCCGTTCGGCATGATTGTTTTCCTTTTGCTGATTTCCATTTATCATTTTTCGCAGGTGTAATTCCTCATGTTTCTACAAAACGTCCGGCTCCCACCCCTTTCTCGACCGTTCCTGTGGACAAAGGGAAAGGGAAGGTAACTGTTGTTGCCGGAAAGCTGGTTCAGCCATCATGACCTTCTGCCGCTCACGCTTCTGATCAGTCCTGGAAACGCCGCAGGATTGAGAGTGGAGGCCAACTGGTCCCGATCGACCATGTAATTGATCTAACCATTCCTGAACTGGATCCCAGAAACTCTGCCTCCTCTCTTCTCAAGAAGGATGATTCTGCTCTTGGGAAGAAGGATGATCCCTCTCTTGCCAACCTTTCAATTAGTGATCGACTGGTTGTGGAGTTTTCCGCCATGGGCCCTCGTGCCGAGGGCCGGACGCTGTACGGGTAAACTGCATCCTCCCTTTGGTGCAGCACTTCCCTCAAGGCTGGTGAGAATTTCACCAACTTGGTCCACTGGTCTGATCTGGTTGAAGCAGGCCACTTGGAGAGTATCAAGGTATGTATTTTATCAGTTTTCCTAGTATTCGCCTTTCCTGGACTGTTGCTAATTTATTTTTCCCAATTTCCAGGCCGGTACATATTATCACCGGGCTTTCCTGGCAGCCGAGCGGGAGATGATGCTCCTTGCTCGCGAACGGGATGAGAGCCAAACTCTTCTTGTTGCCGCTCGTAAGATGGCTACCGATCTTCAGGATCGAGCCACTAAAGGTGATAAGGCAGTGGCCAAACTGGCCGAAATGGAGAAGCGGATCCAGCGGCGTGATCGGGAAATCCGCGCCCTTCGTGCCAAAGTGAAATCTATTAAAGCCACTGGCCTCAAAATTGAGAAGGCCAAGGACGAAAATCCCCATGCCCCCTATACGGTCGATGTTTCCAAGATCATCAAACAAGCGGTGATAGATTTTCAAAGGGGGAAGGGGCTGAACATCGCCCTAGAGAACACTGTTCGGGAGTTCCTTGAGAAGCATCTTGGGGAGTTTCTGGAAAAGTGCGAGGATCCTCTGACCGACGGCCTCAAGCTCCTAGATGAAACGCCCGCCGGAACAGAATTTGCCAATGTCTTGGCCAAGGACATGCTTGTTAAGTGCCAGGACATGCTGGTCGATCGAAACCTCGAGGTGATTATGGAGCACTTCCCCTAGCGTTTGATCCCGAAGAGGAAGACTTTGACGTGCTGTTCTACCGTGCTTACAAGTGGGTGATGGAAAAAAGGTAGAAGGCCAAGGACCATGCTGAGCCATCAAATTCGCAGCTCGTTTGTTCCCCGTCCAAGGATCCTCCCGCAGCGTAGCCTTTATTTTTGTACTTTATTCTTTTATTCTTTTGTACTCCCCGGCCGGTAGTGCTGAAGAATAAACACATTTTTTCCTGACTCAAGGCTGTTTACCCGATCGTTCAGACATTAACCAAGTTTAGGTTTAAGTATTCAGCTAATGCCTGTCATCTTCCAAACCCATAGTTCCGATGCAACCCGTTCGGTTCTTCCATTCCGGGCCATCCATACTAAGGGTTTGAGATGTCCATTTTCAAACTAGAAAAAAAATCCCCCGCTCAGGTTACCCTTTTGTTTTAGCTAAAATGGAGGCTCACCTCCAAGTTACAGCTCGGCTTCCATCATAACGATTTCCTTTCGTCGTGGTTCGTTCGAGCTGCATAGCTGAGGCAAGATTTAAAAGCCAGAGTCCCGATCCACCGCTCAGTCACTCGTGTTACCGAGTGCCGCCCGGTTTGTCTTACACATGGTTTTACACCATCTCTAACTGGCCTGAATCCCTCGCTCGATAATCCGGAGCATAAGGTCAAATCCTAGCTGAAATGGTGGCTCCCTCAGATCAAGATGAAGGTTCTCATTCGAACAAGCTGGTCGAGGTGAGGCTTTTGGCCATGGTTGTGATAGTGTCGTTTGGTCATTTCGACCCAGTTTTTTTAAGAGGTGGCAATAGCCGTTT